CCCTGCTCCTCAGCTCCTCTGCAAGCCCATCTGCCGCAGGCCACCTGCGGGGGTCCCTGCAGCCGGTGTCCCTGTACCCTGGCCAGCCCGCTCAGCCCCGGGCTGCTGGGACTCCGTGCTCCTGCTCCCTCCTCATTTGGCCAGGTCCCCAGCATTCTGTGCCACGGTTTCCTTTCTCACAGGGTGTTTCTCTGTCACTCCCCGTCTGCACCAGGTGTGCCCCCCAAAAGTCTCTTGCCTGGATCCTGCCCCGATCAGCCGTGTGACTCTGGATCAGCCGTTTTGCTTCAACAGGCTCCAGCTCCTTCATCTGGGAAGGAAGGTGTTGGGCCATGTGGGGCGAAGGCCTCTGGAGACGGATTTGATTCTCCAAATCTTTTTTCGATTCATTATTTAGACAGTTGGTCACTTCTGCTCATCGAAGCCGCCGGGGGAGCGAGGAAGGCCAGCTGGTGGCGGTAAGTGGCGAAACTTCTGCAAATTTTCTGGTTCTTTGTCCAAAGAAGGGAATTTGGTTTCTGGACCAGCTCAGGGAGGGCCCCATGAGCTGGAACTGACCCTGGAGAATGAGGAGGTAGGGAAATGGGTCATGGTGCCCAGGTGGCCTGTTGCTCTCTCCTGCCCTCTCCTCTCGCCCCAGGAGGGCATGGGGTGGACATTAACCAGCTGCTTCGAAAAGGAAGGGACTCCCAATCTCTGGAAACCAAACCTTCCCACACTCGGGCTGCAAAGATTTCTGTCCCCAACTCCCTCTTCAGTCCAGCGAGGGGAAGGGTTTGGGCTTTGGAACAATATTCCAGAAAGAAGAAAGCCCACGAGATGCCTGCCACTTAGTGACCAAATGAGAACCGTGCTGAAGTTCATGGTTCCATTATGCTCCTCTGCACCATGAGCCAGAACAGAGCAGCTGTCCGGAGACACGGGCCTCGGAGAGGACTGGGTGAGGCCTGAGGTCCAAGTTCCCAGAAGCTTTGAGCCCACCTCCTGCTCAGTCTCCGTGGGCCCCTCTTCACCACCCCATGCTGCTTTGATAGTGCTCTTTCCTTTTTTTTTTTTTTTAAATGTCCTGTTTTGAAATAATCTTAGATTGATGAAAAATTGTAAAAAAAATAATACAATGTTGTCATATTTCCTTTTTTCATGCAAGTCTCTCTCTCTCTCTCTCTCTCTCTCTCTCTCTCTCTCTCTGTGTGTGTGTGTGTGTGTGTGTGTGGTTTTCCTGCAGGGCTGGAGGATGAGCTGCAGGCTCATACCCTCTTATCTAAGCACTTGACTGTGCATCTCCTAAATCCAAGGATATTCTCTTTTGTAACCATAGTGCAGTTATCAAAAGTAGGAAATTAACGTGGAGACGGTTCTACGATCTACAGAGCTTCTTCAGCTTTTTCCAGATGTCCCAGTAATGTCTTTTTATGACCCAGATCCCACCTACATTGTCCTGAACCATGAATCTAATCTGGGATCCTTCCTTGGTCTCTTTTTAAATTATCTTTCGTGGCCTTGATGCTCGTGAAGGATAACGTTCAGTCATTTTGTTGAATATTCCTCAGGATGGGCTTTTCTGGTGTTTCCTATGCTCAGATGAAATTCATGCGTCTCTGGCAGGGCTGCAGCCGAAGGGGGCTGCATCCGGTCCCCCCAGGAGGTGCCCGGCGGAGATCTGCAGGATGGCTGCTGACGGTGCTGTTGGCCACAGGCCGTGCCTGCCAGGTTCTTCCACTGCAAATTTACTGGGCCTCCCTTGGTAATTATGAATCCTGTGCAGTGACACTTCAAGATTATTCAGAGATCCTGCTTGTTGTCATACTTCTGTTGGTTATTTTATATATTTATTTGCTCTTTTTGGGTATTCATGACAGTGGAGTGTATTTTGACATATTATACATACATGAAGTGTCACATCCCATTCTTTCTTTTTTAAATATTTATTTTTTAATTGTAGTTGGACTTAAATACCTTTATTTTATTTAGTTTTACGTGGTGCTGAGGATCGAACCCAGGGCCTTGCACATGCTAGGTGAGTGCTCTATCACTGAGCCACAATCCCAGCCCAATAACTTCCCATTCTTGTGGTCGTACATGATGTGGAGTTTCGAGTTTCATATATGAACATAGGAAAGTTACGTCCAACTCATTCCATTGTCTCTCCTACTCCCACCCCACTTCCCTTCCCTGTATTCCTCTGTCTAATCCAGTAAAGTTCTATTCCTCCTGCCCCACGTGGTGAGATAGCCTTTGCGTATCAGAGAAAACATTTGGACTTGGTTTTTTGATGACTGGTTCATTTTGCTCAGTATGATATTCTCCAGCTCCATCCATTTACTGGCCAATGCCAGAGTTTCATTCTTCTTTAAGGCTGAGTAATATCCCATGGTGTATGTGTACCATATTTTCCTGATCCGTTCATCTGTTGAAGAGCACCTAGACTGGTTCCACGGCTTGGCTATTGTAAATTGAACTGCTACAAACATTGATGTGGTCACATCACTGTAGTAAGCTGGTTTTAAGTCCCTGGGGTATAGACCAAGGAGTGGGATAGCTGGTTGAATACTGGTCCCATTCCAAGTTTTCTGAGGAGTCTCCACACTGTTTTCCAGAATGGCTGCCCCAATGTTTTGTTGCCTGGCTGGCATCCTTTTGAAGAGGAGACTAGGACAGAGACACACACAGAGGGACACCACCATCTACAAGCCAGGGACAGAGAAACCCGCCTGCTGATGCTTGATCTCAGACTTGCAGCCCCCAGAATGGAAAGGAAACACCTGCCACCCTCCACGGCCACCCAGGCTGAGCGCTTTGCTATGACGTTCCTGGGGCCGAGCGCCAGCCTCACCAGAGCTCTGCCCTCCCGCCGCCCCGCTTCTCCTGGAGTGTCCTGACTCTGCCTCCCTAGGGGATCTCACTTTGACTCCGTTGTTTTCATCTGTCCTGTCGTTCTCCTTCTTTTCCTTTGGATTTGTCTCAGAGCTGGAATAATTCTGTAGAGAAAACTCCCCTCACCACCTTTGGTTACCGGGAAGTCCTATTTGTGTAGGAAAAGTGGAATAAAAGTGCCCGACTCGCCCTCCGCCTTTGCCATCTTCAACATCACGATGGGAATGATCCTTAGTGATCCGTAGCATTTTCTGACTGCGATGAAGGGATTTTAAGAGTGTTCTTGGCAAGTCACGGGCATGAATAGACTTCATACACGTCCGACGACTGCAGTTATCCCTGCGGATGTTCAGTCCCCCTCTTTGGTGGAGGGAGGTGGACAAGAGGCCTCTTGGACTCAGCTGGCATGACTCTGGCAGGCTTGGCTTTCTTCAACAGACATTACAGTTCCTCGTGGACATTTCTGGCCCAAACCCTTAGCTGGCCATTCCTTCCAGGTCCCTGGTCATTTTGGGGAAATGGTATTTAGACACAATTCAGGTGCTGGGGGGGTGCTCACTGTCATCATGGTGATTTTTGTTATTTGGACTTTTCAATAGTCAGAGGCAGGAAATGCAAACATAAAGTACAAAGACTACATTCCTCATGAATCCAACTGCCACTTGTAATTCAAATTCCATATATATATAAAGCTTTTCCTCTCTCTTATTTTGGGGGTGGTGGGATAGGGTACCGGGGATTGAACTCAGGGGCTCTCAACCACTGAGCCACGTCCCCAGCCTTTTTTCTATTTTATTTAGAGACAGGGTCTCACTGAGTTGCTTAGCACCTCGCCATTGCTGAGGCCGGCTTTGAACTTGTGATCCTCCTGCCTCAGCCTCCAGAGTCACTGGGATTACAGGAGTGTGCCACCACACCTGGCCCCTTTCTTGTTTTTAAGAGTGGTAAACTACATATGGTGTGAAATTTGCCACTTAGACCTTTTCACGTGTACAGTTAATGCCCTCAATGATGTTCATGAGGTGATGCGACCGCCATCACTACCTCTCTCAATCTTTCATCATTCCAAACAGAAACTCCGTACCCATTAGGCAATGATTTCCCACTTCTCCAGCCCCACCCCCTGGTTACCTCTAGTCTTTTTTCTGTCTTTATGGATTGGCCTACTCTAGATACTTCATCTAAATGGGATCATATAATATTTGTCCCACTAAGGTCTGGTTTATTTCACAGAGCAAAACAGGATGTGTCAGAACTTTATTTTTTAAAGCTATATACTATTCCATTGTTTGTATAAATGACGTCTGGCTAACCCATTTGTCTCTTGGCAGATACATGGGTTGTTTCCATCTTTTGACTGTTGTAAACAATGCTGCAGTGAAAGCTGGTTTAGGATTATCTGTTGGAGTCCCTGCTCTCAATTCATCTGGGAGTAGAATGGCAGTGTTTCCTTATAGTTTAGCCTAGCTTTTTGAAGAACCACCAGATAGGTCCCCAGGGCTGTGCCATTTCACACTTCCATCAGCAATGTCTGAGGGTTCCGATATTTCCACAGCCTCGTCAAATATCTGAAATTTTTTTCTTAGTCATTCTAGTAGGTAAGAGCGATACCTTATTGTGGTTTTGATTTGCACTTCCCTGATGATGAGTGATGTTGAACACCTTTTCATATTCTTATGGCCATTTATATATTTTCTTTGGAAATTATCTAAGCAGGTCTCTTGACAGTGTTGGATTGGGCTGCTGTCTATTTGTTGTGGAGTTGTAGGAGTTCTTTATACATTTCCAATTGAGTCTCAAATGACCCGATTTCTTCAATAGGTAAATAGAAAAGAAAAAGAAATGTAAACAAAATCTAGATATCAAGCCCTTCCTTTGCATAGCTATAAGATGCAGAAAGATTGCCTAAGCCATATCTTGCTTTTATTAGATATCTCATTTGCAAATATTTCCCCCCATTTTATAGGTTTTTCCTTTTACTTTCTCTATAAGTTTTTTTTTTTTTTTTTGGACTGGAGATTGAACCCAGGGGCATTTTACCACTGAGTTACATTCTTTGCCCTTTTTATTTATTTTTTATTTCGAGACAGGGTCTTGCTAAGTTTGGGAGGCTGGCCTTGGATTTGTGATCCTCCTGCCTCAGCCTCCCAAGTTGCTGAGATTACAGGTATGCACCACCATCCCTGGCTAAAAGTTTTTAATCTTGATGAAGTCCAATTCATCTATTTTTTCTTTTGTTGCTGGTGATTTTGGGGTCATATTAAGAATCCATGGTTAGATCCAAGGTCATGAAGCTTTATTCTTCTGTTTTCTCCTGAAAGTTTTATAGATACTTGAATTGTAGTTTTTCCATCGTCTGAGTCAGGATAGACTATGTTGTTTTGTTTGTAGGTAAAAAAAAAAGCTCTGAGATATTAGCAAATTAACACAATAAAACCCCACAAAGCCAAACATGGCTTGGGCAAGCTTTCTGCACCGTGGAGCCCCAGCGGTGCAGAGTAAGGAAAGCTTAGGAGGGTGCAGAATTTCCACTGCCCTCCTCTGGCCAGAACCCGGTCGCATGGTCTTAACCTGACTGCAGGGTGGCTGGGCGACCGTCTTCCTGTCGCCTGGACCTCCAGCCCAGTCTCTGCCCGAGCCCATCATCCGTTCGCTGGGTTTACTCAATTGCTAGCTCTGTGTATTGGGCAACATGGGAAATAAGCAAAACGGTGTGATTCTGTGATTCCCATCAAGAAGTTATTAGGAAGTGTCATTTAATCAGGGGGTTTATGGTTTGTTTCTTGTCTCTAAGAGGAGAGTTCATTCACGTTGCAGATAGAAGGCCAATTACAAGTGTTGGTTTTAATATTTTATACCCTATGCCAGTCACTGGGGGACAGTGGCACTTGTTAGTGCTGCTGATGTCCCGTAATGAAGGCTCAGGCCGCCGTCTGTGATGGCGAAGCCTGTGGAGTGTCTGCCATGCCCTTGAGGTGGCAGCCTGCCACCAGACAAGGGGCCAGCGGGGGCAGCCTGGCTGCCTGGGGCTCGGGGGACAG